TGGGATAAAAACTGGCCAGGTCATAATTATGGTGTTCTTGAATGTGAAAGAAATTGTTCACTACCATTAGTGGAAATGCAGCCATTCCTAGGTGTGGAGGAAAAATTGCCTTTCTGATAAATTCAGTGTTGGACATGGCACAGAACATTTTTGCTACAAAATAATATTGTTTTCTTCCATTCAGCTCAGCAAGCATTGCACAAGCCTGAGGACTGGGCATCATTCACATGTTAAAAAAATATCCCCTTCACCATGTGAACAAAAGGAATGATTCATGGGGCAGGCAGAGATAGAACTCGGGACAGCAGCATGCACTGTGCATCAAATAAACTTACAGGCTGCAGTCAGCATTATGTTTTCCTTCTTAGTGTCTCTCCTTCTCACTTATGGGTAACTTGTTTCCTTAAAAGTGAGGCCATAGGCCACCCTATGAATGGAAAGAATCCTAAAAACTCTACTATGAACATGTTTCTTTACATACAACAGTGAAAGACACTTGGCGTGCAGTCTGAAATAGCTTGTGGCGTGAACTAGGCATTGATGATGAGACATGAAGATAGCTGAGATCAGACTCAAAATGCGAAATACGCCTTCATGGGTCTTCACACCCTCCTGATGACTCAGGCATGATTGTGGCCTCTGCCTCGCTAGACAGGAGGCAAGGAAGTACCTTGCTCCCCCGGCAGCGTTGTTAGCCAAGTCTCCTATGGGTTTGCTTTCCTGGAGCTTCTGCAGTTGTGGAATCGGGAGGCAACCAGCGGGCCAACTGCTCTAAATCCCTTGCAGACCCTCTCGATTTCTACACATCGTTTTGGGAGGGATGAAATGCAAGGGTACATAAAGCTGTTTTAATCCCCAGAATCCCTTTTGTGGTTTGTGGTGGACAGTAGTGGGGTAAACCCAGTGACAGGGTGGCAGGGCTTTTGGTGGAACTGAGCTGGAAGCGAGGGATGTTTGCAGTATCAGGAGTCAGCGTCACTGGAGGGAGGCTTTTGTCAGCTAGGACTATGAGAAGGGGAGGAAGCCCAGGATACGTAAAAACCCCCTGCAAGGTGTGGAGTTTGCAGAGCTGCAATCACAAGCAATTTTGGTTTTTCTTTCCTTTTTAAATGCAAGAGATGCAACTACAAAACATTTGAAAATTAAGCATTCTCTTTAACAACCCAGAAGAAAAGAGGAGACTGTAAAACCGCTCTTAATGATGTTACGGACATGAAGAAACAACCATCAGATTGAACTATGGATCCCAGATTGCTGTAATTTAGCTCTGTTTGTTGTAGGAACTACTACAGAGTAGATGAGCTTGAAAATTATTAACTAAACATGGCACAGAAAAGAAATCCTAATGACCTATATAGATTTATGTCTGCACCCTTAGTTAGAAGTAGTTACAGAGCTCATTCAAATATGGATTAAATGAGAGGTTGCTCGAAAATTCATTTTGTCTTCAAAGTTTAAGTAAACATATATTGTATATTGCTCTGTTAAGGTCCCTGGCACAAAGTAACTTTTTCCACTTGCTGATTTTATTAGATGTGGATGTATTACCTTGTAATGGTTGTATTTGATTAACGATTTTTTTGTACATTCCTACACCTGCTTACATGTAAGCCTACGTTTTTCAGATACTTATACACATGTAAGAGGATGTAGAGGTTACATTGTTGTGTGTTTCTGCATACGTTATGCAGAAATGAAGAAACCACTTGAGTGAAATTCACAGTCATCCCGAATTAGAAAAGATAAATCTGGTCTCCAGCACAATGTAATAATGCATTTCTGTGTTATGTATTTCACAGAAAAAGCATTTTAAATGTCATAGAATTAAAAGAAATATTAGGAAAGGAAAGGCTTATATTCCTCTACATCTACAGGATCCAGGATTTCTGATTACAGTTGTGTCAGCTGAAGAGGCTAGAGGAAAAAGCTGGCTTATAATTAAAAATATTTTATTGTTTCTAAAACCAATAAAATATAGCTGCTTATTTTAGTTGATTGTAGCAGTACAACAGTAAGATCCAATATAGCGTGATACAGTGTGCTATAAATTGAGGGTTGCAGTACTATTCCATTAAATATTGATCTTTCAGAGAATCGGAATACAAAATGAAAATCCCTACGGGGTGTTTCAAGTACTTTGAAGCAATCCAATTCTTCTTCCTCTTTGGAACTCAGCAGCTGCATCAGACACAAGAAACTTCTGTGCTTCCTTTGACTAGTTTGAAAGCAAATTCCTCTCTTGACGGTAAAAACTATTATGTACAGACTGCTGTAGAGATAATAATTTGTCATTTCTTCCCTCCCCCCATGCCACGACCTTGGCCAATTCCGAAAACTGTCTCATTCTTTCTGTTTCTTACTGCTTCAGTGTTTCTGAGTCAAGGTCAAGAAGAATGATATAGCTCCTCATCTGATGTGAGCAACGTGCAATGTTTTCCATCTCCCCTGGGAGATAGCTTTCACCTTCCAATAGGCCTCTCATAATCTGTGGAGAAGAGTTTCCCAACCATGCAATGTTTTCTGACAGCACTTCAAAACTCCCTTGCAAGAGGGACGTTAGCTTCCTATTACATTTTCTGTAGTCATAGTAAGAACTGTTTCACATTGGATTACCCACAGCTCTGGCATCTCCCAGATTGATCAACTGTGCAGAAGAGTATATAATTTTCCTAGAGAGGGTGTGGTTATGTAACTATTGCCTTGATGGAATAGCTAGAAATTAGCATATAAGGATCTTTTTGCATTCTCCATTTTATCCCTGAAGAACGGCTTTCCTCTCAAACAAAATCCAGGTCAAAAGTAGATGGAAGAGCAGAAAGTCCAGTACTTATCCCAGAAATGTGGATATACTGGAGCTGTTTATCACTCTTCTATCACGGAGTCCTCTATTAGGGCAATACTGGGATGATTCAGAGCAGTGAGTCTTGGAGCAAACATCCCACTCTGAGTTACTGCTTCCTGTTGTCTCCAGGCTCAGATAAATGTGGTTGCTTCAGTTGGAATGAGTCACATCCTTTTTTTTTCATGATCACAAAACCTCAAGCTTATTTTTATTACCTATGAAAGCAAGGTGTTTGGTGTAATCACATCACCCCATGTCCTTAAAGTCCTACGCATGGTCCTGCAGGGGCTGTGCCTCTTGCCATAGAGCCTGTCGGCTTTGAAGTGTCACGGTTGTTGTTGTACTAACTAAAATGTTGTGCTACAACCAAGGAACTCACTGGCAGCTCAGTGATTAAAATGTCTCAAAATAATCTTCATTTCAGGCAGTTCAGCCCTTCCAAATAGAAATGGTTTAGTACAAAAAGTATAACTCTTCCAATATCACGGGTGATTCTCATCCGCTACCGACCTTTCCCACCATCCAGGTACACTATAATTTATGTTCCTAAGAAAGAGTCCATCATTCACTAACACTCAGATATTTAACTCAAACTCAGCTCCTCAGCTTGCATAAATCAATGCTGTTGCATTGATTTCAGTTGAGCTGTGCCAGCTGAATTTCTAGCTTATTTCAAAAAGTACAGAAATAATTGCTTAATATTGTACAGTTTTGAGTCTGACCTTTTGAATTTAGATCTGGCTTCTGAAAAATAACATTTTCTACTTCGGAGATCAATCTTTCTTCTTACCACACCCACACAACTGTTGCGTGGCCCCCACTGTGTTCATGGCTGAGTGAGAATGTTAATGCTGTCACATTCATTCTTTCACCAACCACTGTCAACCGTGGATATACGCTACTTTCCAGCCTTGCTATCTCTTCAGATAGAGAGCTCCAGCTGCAGCCTATTGTTTATAAATGCTGTAGGTTTCTTCAGACAACCTCACATTGTGAAAAAAGAAAGAACATAACAAATTGAATTCCTGCACTTAATAGTCTGTTTGTGCAAGCAGAAGCTCCATATACAAGGAACTTTCATCCAGATAGGGCTCTTATAGATAAGCATACCGTTAACTATAACATGCAAATAACAATTCTAGATGAATGCTCAGTATTGATTCCTTGTTTTCACACTCTCAACTTTATTTTTGCATTTTCCACATTTTTTCACTATTTTTCAGTTCTTACTTGGGTAAGAATCTGCTGGAATAAGATATACGTCGTTACAATTCATATGGTTTAATAGTTGTATGAATTCCCTTTTCTGCAGTGCAAATACTTCTGCTTTCTGGTACAGAAAAAAAAAAAAAGGATGACATCATTTAGTATTTTAATTATGTAGAAAATATAAGAGAAGGGCTATGTCTTTTAAAAATAGCAGGTTTTTTGCAACAGAGAAATCTGTAAGCAGGTCTGTATTTCTTTATTTTTGTGTTTCTTTATAAGCAAGCTAAAATCAACTTGCAATCAATTTGGTTCAGCCAAGCTTTATAGCAAGAATGAATAAAAAGGAAATTGGTCTCGGGAGGGAGGGAAAACGAGAAACATGCATTTGCTGATGGCATGGTGAAAACTTTGCTTCCATATTCATTCTAAATAAACATGAAGAATGTTTGGCATATGATTGTAGGAAGAACTCATCCACAGCACATGCTCTTTATCATAGTAATCCTACAGAAACGTGTTGCCAATTGCAAACACTTCACAGCATGCACAAACAGGTTTGACATTGCCAAGATATTCTTAAGTTGAATGGATGTGTGACTTGCTTATTTAATAGCATGTTTGCCTCCTCGTGCCTCTATAACAGCCAGTGTGAGCCCAGAAGAATTTTTTTATATCAAGTTGATATTTTGTTTCTACTTTCAGGTTTTATAACAATCGTTGCTTGTAATAGCCCAAGAAGCTTTCTTCCTACTTCCATTGCTTGCTTGCTGATTTATAACATCTTCTTGAGCAACCTAAATGATATAAATACATATCTAAACTGCATATTTGGATTTCTGCTGTCATGCTTGCTTTTAATGGCTTTAAAATAGATTTGAGGAGAGTGTCTATTTTAAACTGGTGCTTAAGAGTTTGCCTTATTTATATATATTACATTCCTTCTTTCTAGGCTCTTAAGGATGATGATGCTGAGACGGGGCTGACTGATGGGGAAGAGAAAGAAGAACCCAAAGAAGTGGAGAAACTAGGGAAAATCCAATATTCTTTGGATTATGACTTCCAGAACAATCAGGTTTGAAACAACCAACCTGTAATATTTCATTTCTGTGTGTGCAAGGGGAGAATGAAGTAATACATTTAGTTACAGTAGGTATTTCTGAAATCCTTACTGCTTGCATGGAGTAAAGGGAGAAAGCAAGACTGAAGATTCATGACAGAGGTACTACTAAAGTGGTTCAATGTACTCGGAGTTTATATTACACCTTTAATCAAAACTGAAGACACAGTTTTATCTAATGGTTATTAATAACTTATATTAAGGCATCACCAATCAATGTCAACCCACATTATATTATGGAGTCTGCATGCAGACGGTAAAAGATAGCTTCAGCCTTCATGAATTTAAAATGTAAGCAAACAAAAGATGGGAAGCAAAAGAGAGGGACATAAAAGTAAGTTGATTCATTGTGGGTCTTTTAGCAAGTTGATAAGATTGCCGGGAGTAGCTTTCTCTCACTTCATCGACCGTGCATTTTGCCTTATTAACTAGCTGTGTCAGGTTCTGTTGCCCTCCATGAAAGTACACCTACTAGCCAAGAAAATTTTAGTTTGGAAAAAAAGTTCAAATAAAAAGGTCTGTCCCCAAAAAAAGGGGAAGTTGGACAGGAAGATTCTCTACAGTCAAGGACTGATACTCCTTCAGTATCCTACTCTGAAGCTGGTAAGACCAAACTTTGGCATACTTACCCAAGTTTTCAGTAGGAATACACACCGTAATGTGATGTAGATCTACAATCGACCTACTTAACAGGTCTGGCCACATCCTGAACTAGCTCATATTTCATTCCCCTCCTTGGCGTCTTGCTGTGGTTGGGATCACTTTTGCCAATTTCACCAGTGCGCAGCCTCACATTAAAACTCACTGTGCTTAACTTTGGACCTAAGTACACCAACACATCTGAGTACTTCACTTCTACTGCCTGTCTTTTAGTGAACTTGAGAATACATATTCTGCATTTCATTTTTTGACAACTTCAGTCAAAACCATATCATTCTTCTCTACTTAGGGAAACCCTGTTAATTCCTATTCTTCATCTAAACTGACTTCCACACGTACTTGTGATTTATTTCCACATTCAGATTCTTTATTTGATGCTGTTCATGGAACGCAGTACACTTACTTGTTGCAAGACAAAGGAAATAATAGAAATTAAGAACAAATTTTCTGTCAGCAGCAGGGTATCTACACATAGCTATGACCTGGCATAATACATAATATTTCCCTGTCTTTTCAACTATCTTCTGACTGCAATGCTTGTTTTTCAATGCAAGAAACAAAAAGAATTCTGAAGCCTTTAAAGAACCTGTGGTTAAAGGAGCTTTTCCTCAACTCTCAGAGTAATAAATTATATAAGTTGTGGATTCCTATTTTATTTTGCTACTCTAAACTATGTTGCAGCTTGGAATTTGTCAGAGGATAGGTGATATAAAAGAGTAGAAGGGGGGATTCAGTTAGGTTAGTATAGCGCAGTGGCATGAAACTACAGCCCAATAATCTGGCTAATATATTGCACAGGGTTAAGAATGGAGACAAGATGACCGATGTACTCTCCAGAGCCCGATGCCTCAGTTTTAGAGAGACAAATTTTAAATGGGAATTGAATTGCTTTTCCACTCTGTTAACTAAAGTCATAGACTTGTTTTTCACTCTTTGATGTGAAAGACTTGTTGTAGATCCTGAGCCTATCCATGTATTTATGAACTGTTATGCATCTAGAATAAGAATGAGACAGAAAAGGAAAAGTGTTTCTTACAGCTAAAGGAAAATGTTTCATGGAGCTTAAGAGTCCTGTAGATGGGAAAGCATGTAGGCCATTCTGTGAATTTAAAACTGGTAAAAGTAAGTCCAATTTTGAGGAATCCTTCAGAAGCCAGAAGCTTCTTTCCTGGTTTAACTCCATTGTTCAGTATTCCAGTTGTTAGAGCTTCTGTTTCCAATTTTAAACAATTCATCCATGAGAGAAGCAAATACATTGTGACTGAAGCACTGACTTAGAAGAAAATATTCTCAGATTTCATTCTCGGTTCTTAATATCTTGTCTCCAGATTGACTTTGAAGAGTCAGGTGAATGTTTACCTTAGTCTGTGTCTATGAAACAAGATTAAAAACATTTTCTTTCTATCAACTCCATTATGCTGATGAGGCCTAATACAGGCTGAGATGTCTAGATAACATAACATAACATAACATAACATAACATAACATAACATAACCCTTAATTTATAACACTTCAAAAATGGCCAAGGCATTTAAAAGTTTCAAATGTGCTTCAGTATTATTTTTAGAAGTGTATAAGAGATTTAAGCAACTAATTTTTCTGTTTTGCAATGAGATTATGAATTGTTATTAGGATTTAGTTACCAAAGATTAGCTTTCATGGTGTATTTTTTGAAAATGCTGTCCTTAGTTTACTACCTAAACCCATTTGCATATATAGCAAGAGAATTTAAATACAAGGAAGACTGCAAGATCCATTTGTTTTCAATAAAGCTCTGCCTGAGGTTTTGCATTTGATATATCACCTTTTTGTGTTTGGTTGGGGGAAAGGTTACATGCTGGGGATTTAGAATACAAATTTTGTAGTCAAAATTAGACATTCTTGATTGTTTAATAATGTGATTTCTATTCATGGTGCCCAGCACAGAAAAATAATGCACAAGAGGAGAGAGCAATTGAAAGTTATTTGATTGCAGTCTTTAAAAAGATGAAGTCTGTACTTAGCTGTAATCAGCTGCCCTTTGAAAACCTCTTTTCTGCTTAAAAACAGCCATTGTACAGTCTGCATCTGCCATAATTGGTTTTCTAAAGTCTATAGTGTTGCTTCATTTGCCTTCCCTGAAGGGGGGGAATAGTTTTTCATAGACCAGAAATAGAGTCTGCATGTGTATTTCTCTGCTACAGTTTTTAAATAAATATCTATTTGAAATTTCATTCTGCTCTTTTTCTCTCCTTTCAGCTTCTGGTTGGGATTATTCAAGCAGCTGAGCTGCCTGCGTTAGATATGGGTGGCACATCTGATCCCTATGTGAAAGTTTTCCTGCTTCCTGATAAGAAGAAGAAATACGAGACAAAAGTCCACAGAAAGACACTTAACCCTGTTTTCAATGAGCAATTTACATTCAAGGTATTTTTTTATAATTATTGAAACTTTTTTATTTAACCACTATATATTTCATGCTTGGCTACAAAGTTAGATGTCTTAGTTAACTGGTAACTGCATCATGGTGATTTTTCATGTTATAGAAACCCATGATATTCAATCTTATGTTGAAAATGGTATAACATAGGGTCAGACCTCAGTAGATGTAAAAGGCACTTCAGTTATCCTGCTGTATGACAATCATCTGATCCATATTTTATGGCTGGTTAAAACTTACAAGAAAGTCAGAAAACAGTGACACTTTGACAAATGTCAGGAAAATTTCACTAGACCAGCATTTTCTTTAAATATCTTTGCAGTCTTATTTATGAATTTCAGTATATCATTTCTTTTCCCATCAAAAATAAATTCAAATTCAAGTAAGGTAAATGGATGAAGGACAATATGGCAGATTAATCTTGCTAGACTTTGTCATAGCAATTTTTTGCCATGCTACTCTACATATGAAAAGAAATCATGTCCCAGGTTTAATAACACATGAATTAAATAAATGTAGCTAAGCTTTACATTGCAATATTTAAGTCATTCCAATAGCATCTATCAATAGTGTTTTTCTAAAACTGTAGCCATACCTAAACCCCAGTTACATACAATAAAAGAATACTATAGAGCATGTTTCACAGGGCTTCTCCTAATATATATTCTTCTGCTGTTACTTCAGGCCTTTCTCTCTATGCCTAATTTTATAATGACAGCTACAGATTGAAAACAGGAACACTGAAAGACTCAGGCTATGTAATCATTCAATGAGAAAGATATCCCTGGAGGCCACAACTACTACGGCATACATAAGCTTGTTTTTTCCCTTGAAGATGTTCATAAAAATAATCTTTTGTGGGGAGTTATTTTTTTCTTGAGCTTTCCTAAGAGAGTATTTAAAAGAAAACAGAGTTATAAATTACAGATTCCCATGCAGCTCACAAAAGAAAAGAAAGAACCAATAATGCTGTTATCTAAGATGAAGGCACAAGTTATAAATCAGATCATCCACTCCTGGGCTATAATGTCCACTTGTTTTAAGGGACATCTTTAATATTCAAATTTTATTCTCCAGAAGCAAGTTTGCTTTCCATGCAAGACCTGTCAGAGTGTTTAAGTGCATCCCAATATGCTACTGATCATCCCCTGGATACTGTGGTACCCAAGAGAAAACCAACGGGGCATGCCAAGTACTATCATTGTTCTGGGGACTACAGTGAAAAAGATAAGCAACCATTTAACTAGTGCTGCATCTCTAATAAATTACTTCTGTGGGAACTACTGACAATATCTCATTTACTTGGGCAGAGCCTTACTTCTGTGACCTGCTTCAGGTGGTGCACAGCTTCTGTTGATATCCTTCTCATCTCTCTTTGGCAGAGCTGCCCACCAGGCAGCCCAAACCCGTTTTGTTACCTTCTCCCAGGACACAGCTGTGAGCTGCCTGCCTTCCTCCCAAAAAAGGGCTAATGGGGATGAGATGGGTTATGTTTCTGCTGTATTGCATTTTGAGCCATGAACTTCATTCCTTCTCTTATTTGGGTGGTTCCCTGTGTTATTCCCCTTTTCATTTCTGTTTCCCAAACATCCATGGTGCCATTCCAGGTTGAAGGTGTCCATCAGGCTTCTGCTGGCTGAATTGTATAACCACACTGCGCTGCCAAAAGAGAACTGAGAAATGCTAGCTGGACTACACCAGTCTGTCAGAGGGAGGTGTTCCTTCTCAGGCCCAAAGTGGGAAGAGGGTTCATGTCTAGAGAAGTCACATGTCTGTGCCGGAAAACACTCCTATACATGTCCTTCTGGCAAGGTCTCACCTGCATTTAAGAGGCTGGGTATCTCTGAGCAGAGTACAAGCAGGGAGAGGGAGCAATCCTCCATGAGTTGAGGACTTCCTTGGTAATCCTGAACAAAGCTGGAGGCTGAGGCTACTTTGGAGGTAATACATGGAGGAAGCACTGCCACTAGATCTTCTTTAGAAAGCAAGGTGTCTAAAATAAGCTTTACTGATTTCAAGTTAATGATAAAAAACATAAATAATGATAGTCTTTTCATGCATTCCAAATTACCAGGATCCATTAAGAGGTATAGTAAACTGATGGAGAAAGAAATTTTAGAACATTCCTCTTCTGTTTTTGAGGCTGCGTAAAAAAAAAAGTGAAATTATTTAGAATTTTGCCTTCCACATACATTTGCCTTCAATAGCTTTTTAGAAGCTACAAATAATTTACAGAACCAAAATAGATTTCCCTATAATATCTACTACAATACACAACCCTGTCCCCACTGAAACTATTGTACTCCGTAATGGAAGCTGGGCTAGCTCTCAACCTAAAAAGCTTCTTTTAAACATATACACCATGTTATGAAAAAGGAAAACTACTCATGTTATTAGTAAGTATTTTAAAAAGCAAGTTGAAGCCAAACGGTAACAAAAGACAACAGTCCTAGGGTTTAGACAGACCAGATCATAGAGAGGTTAGCAAGGCCAATGATAATGCCACACTTTCATTTCTCTTTTTATATAGACAATTAATAGAGAAGTATTTACTGAAGCCCATGGAAACCATTTATACTTGCAGAATATATTCAAATTGACCAAGTGTTCAATGTAAGTCCAAACAATTCCTAAATCAAACTTCTCCAGGCAGCCGCTCGAGTGTAGCTTACCTGAACTGCACATCTTCATCTGAATATTAAAAATGTGACTCATAAGCATCCTAACCCACAGCATCTGTCTGAAACACATCAGAACAGCTGGAGAATTAGTCAGAACTTGGCCTTCTGCCACCACAATTTCTAGCTGTACACTGTGTCTTAGAAAGCACCTCAGTGTCTACAGTGTGAAAGGTATAATAATGAAAAATATGCCTTGGTAAGTAATAGGTAGTGGTACTGTAAAAGAACTATTTAGTGTCTAATTATTTTGTGTCAGATACAGTAAGCCAGTTCTGTTTCAGTCTGGGAGCTACCCATTTCTGAGTGATGACAGTTGATTTATTGAGGAAAAGACACCATTGTGTTGAAAGTTCATGTGTCTTCAGTGCAAATAATTGGGCTTCCTGGTTCGGTTTCATCACCCACAAAATGATTTGAAGTAGAATGAGAAAAACCCAGGGAGTGATGAGTGAGCTGCCACATTGTTCTATTGAGTGCCAGAGCCTGGTCTCAAAAAATACTGCGTTTGGTGACTATGAAACAAATACACCTCATAATTTTCTCTGCAGTTCAATTTACCTGAGATGACAGCTGATAAACCAAAGAAATAGATTTGCATTGCAGTGGACTGATCTTTATTGTCTCAGACATGGAGTTTGTCATTTTCTCTTCTTTGCAGGTGCCATATTCTGAGCTGGGTGGAAAGACTCTAGTGATGGCAGTTTATGACTTTGATCGTTTCTCCAAACATGATATCATCGGGGAATATAAGGTTGCAATGAACACAGTGGACTTTGGTCACGTCACTGAGGAGTGGAGGGACTTGCAAAGTGCAGAGAAGGAAGAGGTAAGAAAAATCAGACTTTTTTTTTCTTTTTCCCCAGGACACTTTTATCCTCAGCTAGAGAAACAGTCGAACTAGCAACATTATTTTTGCCGAGACAGCTCCCATCTGTTATCAGCATTTCTCAGACTTACTTCGCCTGATAAATTTTTGATAAGCATCTTTTCCAATACTCATTGAATGGTACATGCTCCTTTCCTAATCCTATTTTCAATCTTTTTGATACTTCATGCAACATATTAAGAAAGTTTTCATAAGTTTTACTTTTTCTTGAATTGATGCAGTTTGGATACATAGAATTTTCATTTGAATTATGAGTGGTGTGCGTTTAGGCTCCTTTGTGGCCCTAATCATTCTCAATGTTTGCATCTCAAGGCATCTTATTGTGCATGAAGATAATGGTAGGTTTTCATTTAAATACCTTACAGTGTTATTGAACTACCATGCAATAATATCCATTAATTAGAATTATTCATTTGACAAAGACCTTGGAACAGCATCTTGCTGAAATATTAATCACCTTTTTTAGTTTCCTCTCTGTGTCAACATCCTGTAGTTTCATTATTTAGTAGGTATAGTCCTACATGTACACAAGACACTTTTTGGAAATACTTCATCACTAAATTGTGGATCCTGTGCGGTTGTTCCTACTGGCACATCCACCTTTTTGCTTATTATAAGACCATTTTGTACTCAGTTTTACATTATTTTTCCTTTGAATTGCTAGGTAATATCTGCCGACTCATAACAGTCAGAGTGTACTGCATGTTTTAGTTCTTTGATGGGAGAAGAAGGAATCTGAGTCTGGGTTCTTCATTGTCTAATTTAGCTAATAAGCTGCTTTGGATTCAAACTTTCGTTTCTGTAATTAAAGGGACAATCTCTGTATGAAATCTTTCCTAAATGCAAGTGACGAAAACTTGAATATTGGATTTAGACTACAAGTTGTGTAAAATTCAGTAGATGCTGAGCCATGCAACCTTCTCAGATTTTCAAAAATGGTTGATGTCGGTCTTGCTTTTTTGAGTGTTTGTTTTTAAAGACTGTATTTTCAGATGTCTGCTTATTGATTTGAAAGCCACTGCTACACTGAGACTATTCTACATGGCATTGTTGCATAGTGACAGCATTTGCAGGGCTCTCTTATTGCATGTGACAGTGATATCCATGCTATATGGGGCATTTTTCTTCCACTCTTAGAGCTAAAAATGAAAACGAAAAAAAGAGAAAAAGGAAGTTTGCAGTTCAAGGGCCCCGTTCCTTTAAAGCCTCAGCACACTGGAAAATCAGAAATGTGAAATCAGAGTATATTAATCCTTCTGAACTTCATTAAGTATCCAACCAGACTTTTACTGCACTATTGTGTGTGATATCAAAGTATTTCACATTCCTCTGTTGCAAAATGCGTAAAAGAAGCCAAATATTGCACAAAGAGGAATTGAATCTTCACATTTTATTATAACCTCAGCCTTTTAGAACATAAACAATGATATCCCCATATACAGGTGACAGCACGACATAGATTAGTGGGAGGTTTCATATGTCTTGTGGCATAGAACATTGCCTCTTGAGTTTTCTAGCTCACGTCCACAGTGAGACCTGACTCAGTCCCTTGGCTGCTTCATAAAGTTCATATCCTGCTAGTACAAAGCAATGTTAAAGTTGCTTAAAACGTAGTGTGAGCTACTTCCAAAAATGCATTCTAACTTGGAAAGGATTTCTTATTACAATAAAAGAAGGTAATTAAAAAAAAAAATTCTTAAAGTATTTGGGTATTAGAAGAGTATTACAAGAACTTCGAATAGTTTGCAGTAAGTACAAAACCTGGGTTGTACCTTATTTGTGCTTTCAGAGCCCAAGTGAAGTGACAGATACATATTTTTGCATGTGTTTGTCATTTGTCTATGCAAATACATTTGCATGAGAGTCATGTTAAATAGAAAAAACTAGCTTTCTTTAGTTCCTGTTTGAGCCTCTGCCCTTACCTTTCTTCACATTTCTGGTACTATTTATACAGAAACAACACTGTCATTTTTGTAAATTTTTTTGATAGGGCCTTTTTGAAGCTGCTACTGATGTGTGGTGGTTTTATTTATAAGAAGCTAAGCAATATCATCCTATGAAAACATCCTGAAAAACTGTGCTTGCACGAACTCCTTAAATATTTTTTCATAATACAGGAGGTCTCCTGTTCCATTTTTGCATTTCTGTGCTCATAAGCATACAAAATATCCAATATATCCAATAAATATTAAAATTATCATAACTTAGGTTAGTTGGAGACTGTGTTAATCTTAGTTTTCTACCTATTAGTTGTAGAAATATGTATTATTTCCTACAACAGTTCCTGAGTTTACTGTACAAATGAAAAGTGACCCCACAGAAACCAGTTACTCAGGATGCAGGTCTGTCAAGTGTATTTAATACAAAAGGTCTTCACTTATTTTTGCTCTGTTATGGAACCTCAACTTGTGTCATGTATGTGTTGAGCCTAATTCAAAGAATTGCTTAGCCCAATTTGGAAAAAAATCCGTACCAAGAACCAAGAGAGTTACAATTGTCAGTGGTTTGGGAGCTGTGTTTCCCAGGAAATGTCATTCATATTTCCACATTTGACTACTGCCAAGTACCTCACCATTTTTGATATTCCGGCCTCTGCTCAGCGGCAAAGTTGCCATACAAATTCTAGTAGACTTTTGGAGATAATAAGTAGGGTACAAAGAGAGGTAGGAGAGGTCTGGTCGCCATAAACCTGCTATCAGCTGACACAGCAGACGTTGAGCATTCATAGCACGTACAGCTGCAACCAAGCAGTACCCTGGCTTCAGAATTAGTAAATACAGTACTGCACATGCAAAGGCGAACATGATTTACCTATGCCAGATGCGTAGTAACAGACACGTGCTTGTCTCGGTAGTGATCATGAATCTGATCTGGTGGTCTGCCTTACTAATTGTAGGAAAACATGATAAAAAACAAATTAAAACTTAAGCAACTGAATTTCATTAAAAAATGTGTGACAAATGTAATTCTATTACTACCAAAAAATCTTTTGTAGACTATTCTGCATGTTATAATTGTGTAATGAATTTGTCCTTGAAAAGCACATCTGTATGTGGTCTGCAATAATTGAAGAGTGGCATGGTTTTGTTTCCTTTTTTGCCCTGACAGCACTTAGGTCAGTTTTTCAGTTTTTAACAATCTAGTGCTAACTAGAATTCTAAATATGTTTGCAATTAAATAGCAGGTGAGAAACTAGCCTTAATGTTTTAATTATGACCCCTAAACACGATGTATACCAAAGCACATCAGTGAAAAATTGCCACCAGTCATTTTGAAAGAACCATCTAGGTGGCATGAGTCAAACTGAGTATAAAAAACTTATTTTTATTACATTTTATGTCAAATTCAGTAGATGCACATCACAGGATATACAATTTAATTAACACTGCAACCATAGAGGGCAAAATAATTTTACAAGCAGTTATTCTTCTTTTTGCTCATAAAGCTCCACTGTACTTTCCATCTTTTTTTTCTAAATGGGCTTGAAGTTGATGGCAGAGGATGAAGGTTTAATTAAGTATTTGAAGGTCTACCTCTCACAGCCCAGCCATTTGAATGGCATCTATCTGACACTGCATTCTCTTCTGGGAAAGGTCTTATTAATATATTTATGTTCGCGAAGCACTTTGAAGGTACAAGGCTTTATGTAAGCATTTGTGATGACTGTGAGAGTGCTTTGGGAATGTACGAGCCTGTACAATGACTGCTAAATATTGGGGAGGCCACTGCTAATGAGCTGCGTACCTTGGATCCCTTTTCCCTGACTGCTTTTAGTTTTGCTGTCCTTGTGAATATACGGAGGTGATTTATCTAGCAGTCCTTCAGTCTCATATGACTGAGAGCATGGGAGGGAGGAGTGGTAGATACTGAAAGATTATTCACTTTTACCAAGCCTGACATATAATGGTTTGGGCACAGAATGTTAAAAAACAGATGATAGGAGTTTGGCCCTCTGTGTCATCTACCAGATGTCACTGCCATTAACTTTATCTGAGTACACATTGCATCCAATATCTGTTATCACTCCTGTACAGAAGGCCAGACAGACGTCTTCTTTGCTCACAGCAGTGTGAATCATACTGAGAGTCATCTTCTGAATACTTCAACTGATTTCCCTCCAGACATTTTGTTATGTTGGCACTTAAATTGAAAACCTGTTGCAGCAAACATTCTGAGAAATTTTAGGGAATATAGGAAAGAGCAGAAAAAATTCTTTCCCTTGGAAGCAGTGGAGAAGTAGAGCCTTATCCCATGAGGCAAGGATCTTCAATCTGCCGGTATATACCACCAAGAGTTCTGCAGACCTCTTATGACTGCCATCACATAAGACTCTATGCAATATCAGGCACCCACCATGGACAGGTTACATGATGGATGGAACAAGACACCCAACCAACAAAGACCAGTTCTGTGAAGCTTGACACGTGCTATTCATGAGGATCGTTCTTTCCATCCTCTTCAAAAAATAGAAGTTGAAGGAAGGAGATGGAAAAGTGGGCCTGAAATGGGTACGTGCTTCGGTATGCTTCATAGAAGTTGGAGACTGACAAAGTTAGCCATCTAGCTTATTGAATCCTCAGCACGGAAACTTACAGAGAGTTGAGAGGAAGGGACATTTTTACAAATGTCACTGTCAAATCACAGCAGCAAATCACTGTCGTTTTCTCTTATATCAGAGGTGGACAGATGATCTAATAGGCTTTTCCCATCTCTAATAGTAACACAGTTCTTATATAGCTTTGCAGATAGCACAGTGCTTTGCAAAAGAAAGTATCATTATCCCTATGGAGGTGCTGTCAGAGTGTCAGACAAATTTTAAAATGTGAGGTCTCCTTTATTAAGCTGCATATTATATTGGATCACTATGTTTTTTGCGTAGTGTTCAAGTTTTCTCAAGTTCACTTCTTCTTACACCCAATTAAAACTTTAAAATATTAAAT